CATGTTAATTTCTACCAATTTTCATCCACGACTATTGTTTTACTATCAATTTTCAAGGAACCATTTATGGTACAATTGAAAGTCTGGGATAAAAATATTGTAAATATCAATAGTTAATGAACCATTCCTGAAATTAACTATATTATTAATGTTGAATTGTTGAGTATTTAATTTAGGTATGGATTTTAAAAGAAAATTTGTTTAATCAATCAATAACTGACTACATAAATACAAATAATTTGTAAAGAATCATGAGTATTTAAAAAAAAAAAAAAAAAAAAAAAAAACTACAAATACAAATAATTTGATCATTCAAAACTATTTAGCATTTCTAATTTATATACTACCTAAAAATGAAATCCATTTTCATATTTTTTTCATGAATAAAATAAGAAGTTGCTTGATCTATATATGTTCTGTTAATGCAATATTTATATTCGTGTATTTTTCATCAAAATTAACTTAGACTAGGAAATGTTGTGTATGAAATTTCTAGATTCACAATCAATTTCTGTATTCGTGTAAATAGTGTATCTAGATGATTATTCAGTATAACTCTAGAAAACAATTATTCAGGGACTCCTTCCACAATATTAGGTGAACCCTAGTCCACAATATAACAATTGGCAACATATCCTCCCTTGTGATCAAAGTTGTATAATAGTTATTGAATGTAATATTCTAATTTTAAATTTTGTTTTATGTTTTAAAACTTCATACTATGGTAGATGTGACAACTTAGTGTTTTAAGTAACATAATTAAAATTATTAATTGTATCAAAATTTCTAAATCAAACAATAAAACCCTACTAACCTACTATCTCCAAAGTTCAACCATAAGATCCTATGTTGGTCCCAATAGAATGAAATGAGAGTCTAGAGGGGGGGCGGGGAGGTGGTGAATAGACTCTTTTCGTGAAAAGCCCTAATCGTCACCTTTCGGTGTCTTGGCGCAGCGGATAAGATAGATTCGTTTTAAATACTTTGCACGAGTTTGCGTAATTAGACAAACTTTCGGTAACGGTGATAAATAGAGTGATATGAATGCAGAAAAGAAAAGCGTAAGTAAAGAGATAGAAGGGACACGAGATTTTATAGTGGTTCGGCTAATGTTGCCTACTCCACTCTTCTTCCACAACTGTTGGAAGGATTGCACTATCACTCTTAGTACAATTACACAAAGACTTTCTTGATCACTAAGCCGGACAGCCTTCGTAGGTTTTTCAACTCCTCGAGTTTACTCCGCCTCTATCAACTTCTTCTCCTGAGTTGAGGTTGGTAGAAAATAATTTCTTGAATTCTCCAACGATGAGGTCTTGACTCTGAGATATGATTGCTTCAAGCAAATGGCAAGACTTCCTTTGAGGTGTAAGAAAAAGATCAATAATCTTCTTCAAGTAACTTAGCACCTCAAAACTGGTTCACAAAAGCTTTTAGTAAATTGTAGGCGTTTCAAGAGCTTCTGTAAGTAAGTAAGTCGAGTGAGAATGAACCAGCACCTTCTTAGTTGATGAAGGTGGGTTTATATAGGTGATGAAAATTCATCCGTTGGAGGGAGATGAAATTTTCGAACCTTTTAACTATTGGACAAGGACCGGGGAGCTTCATGCATTAAATGCTCCATTAATGAGGTTGTACCATGTAGCCGTTGGAGGTATGGAAAGCATTAGGCTTTGTCCTATAGCTTCAGAAGATGGTACATCTTCATTTAATGCTCCTTGAAAAGTGTGTCCCTTAAGATGAGGTCCTTATTGTCCTAGGATGTTGTCAAATCAGACAGCTAGAACATTCTTCTCGTGGTTGAAGAGAAGTAATGTTTGATACAGATGGTCTTCATAAAGAACTGTCTTTTCGTGTTTGTTGACAACTCCTTCTTGACTCTCGTTGATGTTCTTCATGTCTCGTGTCTTCTTTCGCCTTGGAGACCCTAACATCTAATCATAACTCATTTTCGTGTGTTTGTCTAGCTTAACACGAATTACATAGGAGTTATGGCAGCTCTCGTCTAGGACGAAAGCAGCGATTGAAAAAACAAAAGGTTAGGGGTCTATTTTTCTACATTACATTGGTATCATCAAAATCCTAATACAATGTTCCTAACATCCTATTAACCTATTATCTCCAAAATCCAAACAAACATAAAATATATATATCCAAAATCCAAACAACCATAAGATCCTATTAACCTAATTCAAATTCAACATCATCCTGAGCAGCTTCCCCAGTGAACCAACACACTGCATGTTGAATTATTTTATCTCGAATAGTTGACCCAATTTCGTAGTCCTTTTCCATAAAATTCCGCAGATACTCTGCAGCATCTTCATCCTCTGGCACTTGAGGTGGACTAAAGAAGTTGAAAAAGCTTTCACACTTTTCAGTTTTAGTGATAGGTTTCACATTCTTGGATCCCTTCTTAGGCGGCTCTTTCTCTGTCAAGGATTTTCTAGGATACCATTTATTACTTTCTCAAAAAATAGGTCATCTTCATCAATAATGTGATGCTTACAAGAACTACATGAGCTACAACTTTAGAGAAAAATATGAAGATTTAGTTCGAGAAAGACCACTCCGAGACGTTAGAGATTCAATCAATAACGAACTAGACTTCGACAACATGCTCAAGAAACAAAATGAACGTGATGATAAAGAGAGAATGGAAGCATGCACAACAGGTGGAAATAAATCTTTTGAACATATAATGATCCATTTAATTTCAGTTTTCTTCGATTTGTAATTTGTGTTTTATAAATGAAAGTTTGATTTTGCACATTTTGTGAGTACTCCTTTTTGAATTCAGTAAGTTTTATAGAACTTCATGTAAACTCATCTATAGGGTTGTTTTGTAATAAAATCTCCTTTAAAGGATATCATTCAGCCTTGTAGAAAGAGTATAGGTTTTGACATCATTAAAAATGGGGAAATTGTTAGGAACAAGTGTACTTAGATTTTGATGATACCAAACTGTCTAGGATTGTAGACCCCTATTTTTCTTTTCATAGATAAATCTCTTGTGACAAACGAGAGTTATTGTAACTCAACGATTGATTCACACCATGAAGTGTACGAATCTTTCTTAAGACTAGAATGATAGGTCTACATAAAGACATGAAGCCGACAAGATGATCGAAAGCTGCTTCCAGGCGAAAGATGGATTGAGCAAGTCTCGGATAGAACTCTTTTGACAAAAAGGATCTCTCGTCAAAGAGAAAGGACGAAAGATAAAGTCAATCTTTTGACCATCATCTCCGAGTGAACAAGTCAAAGACAGACTTGTAAAAGACAACCTTCAGTTAAGTGAAGCAATGAGAATGTTGTCTATGACTCAGATGGGCAAATCATTCGGACAAAAAGTGTCCTAGGAATGATCTTCACAAAAGACAAGAAGCATTAAAAAACTTGTACCATCTTGTCAGAGAACAAGGACAAAAGTCATAATACTTTTGGCTCCAACGGCTACATAGTACAAGTGCATTAAATGCTTATGCCCACTGGTTATTGCACACTGGATATTAGGTTTGAAATCTTCATCTCCCTTCAACGGATGAATTTTTCCACCTATAAATACCTCTCTTCACCATTGAAGAAGGGGCTGGTTATTTCTCTCTTGCTATCTAAAGAAAAGCTCTTCAAACAATTTCATCTCTCAAAAGCTTTTCACAACCAGTGTTTATGTGAAGTTCTTCAAAAAGCTCATCCATTTCCATACTTCACAATTTGAAGATGCCTTGCATATTTTCAAGTGAAGATACATCCAGACATCAAGACAAGGCTTCAATCAGTTGGAGAAACGCCAGATTATCTTTCCAACATCTCAACTTAGGAAGAAGTTGATAGAGGCGGAGTAAACTCGTGGAGTTGAAAAACCTATCAAGTGGCTGTCCAGCTTAGTGATTAAGGAAGCCAACTTGAAGTAGTTTGTACTAGGAGTGATAGTGCAAACCCTTTCACGAGTTGTGAAAGAAGAGTGGAGTAGGCTTCGTTAACAGCCGAACCACTATAAAATCTCTCTCTCCATATCTCTTTACTTACTGCTTTATTGCTTTCGTGCATAACATTTCATATCGACCAAACGCTAAGATTTCCTAACGAAAGTGTGCAAAGTATACCTAAAACAAATCTTTAATTCCGCTGTGCATTGCTCCGAAAGGAGCTTCTTTGAAAAATCGAGTAGAGTCTATTCACCCCTCCTCCCCTCTAGACTCTCTTTCGACCCTACCAGGACCAACATACGTAAATTGCAACAGTAAAATATTAGAGACTAAAATCGCTAGAAATTAAAATAACAATCGAGGGACTAAAAAACTGTTGAAAATTTTCTAATCTTATTTCATCTTATTTGATATTATCAAATTTTTAGTATTATTAAATTTAAATTTAAAATTTTCATATAGGGGCTCTTTTTTAAATTTCGCCCGGACCTATAAAATGTTTGGACCGGCCCTGATTTTTCTAAAACACTATTGGTGTGTTTTTACATAATTAATGGTGCGTCTGCAACGACTGCACGCTAAGACATGAGCGCATTTGAGATGATATATATATATATATATATATATATATATATTCTTTTATTTTTCTATTCATTAACCCACAAAATAATGAAATATATTTAATTTTTTCCTGTAACCCTATTCCTATTCCTATTCCCTCTATTTTGATTTTGTGAACCAAAGTTCAAGTTAGAGCATTAAAGAATGTGGGAGGCTACAACAGGATGACAGATAAGATAAGGATTGAATTTGCACCAAAATTTACCAAGGATTAAGCAAGCACAAGTATATAATTGACAGAACTGAATCAACGAAGGTTCTAAGAAACTGCGTAACTTAGTCAACTCCAAGACTTGCGTATTGTGTTGACTTCTTTTTTTTTTCTTTTTTTTTTTTTTTTTTTTGCTTTTTCACATAAGATTGACGTATTGGAATTGGACGCAGAAAATTCCCTATAAATTAATTATAATTAAGTTTCAGTTAGTATAGGAAAGCAGCAGTGTTTGCTTACAGTGCAAGAAATGAAGAGAGTTTTGGTGATTGCAGGGTTCTGCTCTTTACTGTTCATCCTCCACCTTGTTTCAGCTGGCCATGGAGGAAAGCATCATAAAAGCTCATCAGCTGATAAAACGCATCATTCTACGGTGAAGATGGGCGCAATTCTTGACATGAAAACGCATATGGGAGTCATGTTGAATGCCTGTATGTCAATGGCGCTATCAGATTTCTATTCAACCCATTCGGATTATCGGAGAAGATTAGTTCTTCACACAATGCATGCTGCCAATGCACTTGATGTTGCTTCTGCAGGTATTATATTTTCTCCCTTTTTTCGGGTTTATCTTAATGGTTCAATAGGCAGTATTTAGAAGAATAGACTAAGGTTCGAATCTTAGCGGCGGCAGTGTGAGGATTATGCCCAAGGTAGGCAGATTCCTTGTGCGCATCGGCATTTGGCCCTGTATGCTGAGGTATCAAGTCACCATAATTTATCTAGTCTCAAATATTCTGTCGGGCCGGGGTGTGGGAATCTTGAGGTTGGGGATTCAACCTTTTGGGAGAAGAAGAATTGAAATTACTTTTCACATGCATTAAAAGTTGTATTAAATCCAACAAAATTTTGAATTTTAAAATATAATTGTGAGTGTCAAAGAAAAAAAAATTGAACAATGAAGAACTAATTTCATCTTCAAATAGTAATGACAGAAGGTGTATAAATTTTCATCATTGTTTAGCTGGTTGTAGATTTGTAGGATTGTTATACCATGGACCATATCTTGCAAGTTGAACCAAATTAAATTCTTTTATTCACTTTAATAAGTTTATTTTTCTTTATATTTTTATGCAGATAAATTTAGTATGTGAAAATATATTATTAAAAATTCATAATTAAAATCTTTTAAATGACACATATTGATATTTTTATTTTAATGTTTTAAATTAATATACAATTATATTAAAGTCACTATATTAGGTTTGTTTTCAATATATTATTGACTCATTTTCAAAGTATAGTAGGCTTATTTTTATAATACTAATGCAAATTAAATACATCATTATATTGATAAATATAAAATAAGTTCATTTAGTAAACACAGCAGGTTAATTTTCAGTTCACTTTCAAAACACCACATGTTCATTTTTACAATTGTAATGCAACTACATTATAATGATGAATCTCAAATGAATTCATTAATGAAATGTTGGTAGTTCATTTTTACACTATTGAATGTTCTTCTTTACAATAGCAATGGAACTATTTATAATACTGATAAAACTAAAATATGTTATTAAGAGAATAATGGAGGTTCATTTAATTTATCAATATTGCAAATCCATCAATAAACAATTAAAATTAAAAAAAAAAAAAAGATAGTAATAGAGTATCATTTAGAAGATCTCAATGTGATATTTTTAATAATAAGATGTTTGATAAATAACAGTTAGATATTAGCTATTAGCTGATTGGGTTAATAGGTTTGAGTAGTTGATAGCATTAGCTGATTGTATAAAGATGTTTGGTAAATTAGTTGTTAGCTAATTGCTGATTACATGCAAAATGTCTTTCTCAAAAAGTTGATCGAAAAAACTGCTTTGAGCAGCATTTTGAATTTTAGCATTTTAGAGCAATAAACTATACAAAAAGCTAATTAATCAAACACTTATATTGAATGTTTAATAAAGTCAAATAATTAATAGTGATCAAATAAGTCAAAATTGGTTGATAAGCTAACTATGTTATCAAATAAGACCAATATATATATTTTTTAACTTTGAGTACTAATAAACCTACAATATTATAATAATAATAATGAGACATGAACTATGGTGGAAGGTGGACCATGATCCATGATAATTATCATCTTTGACCTAGTCCTATCTAACATATTTTTTTAATTATATTGAATAAGTCCTACTAATTTTTATATGTATTTAATAACAAAGTCAACTTTATTATTACAACAAAAATATTACATATTGAAAGCTACAAATAGAATACTTGTATATAAAATTGAAAATTAATAATATTTTGGTGTAACTTGTGAATATAAAAACATCAAAGATGATTTGGTTACTTCATATTTCAGCAATAATTATTCATCTTATCATTTGAATTTTTTTGAAAGGACCTTATCATTTGAATTGATGCAATTATAATTAATATATTACATATAAGATATATAATCGGTTATGATCTTTCAAGCCACTGTTAGTACATATCTTCTTGAGCGTTCTGGATGCGTGGATTTTTTAGTTCATTAATATCTTAAGGGCAAAAACTTTTGTGAGATTATCTCACGAATCTTTGTTCGTGAGATGGGTTGGGATATGTAATATTAATCAAAAATGAAGTATTTGTTACTTATAAGGGAATTGTAATACTATTTGAAAAGAAAATACACTCCCTCTGTCTTATTTTATGGTTAATAAAAATTGACTGAAATTATTTAGAATTTAATTTTCATAATATTAAGTTTAAAATTAGTATGTAAAATGTATATATGTATGTAGAAACTACGTTAAAATTACTCTCATTCTCTATTTTTAATTTTTACTCTCATACTCAAAACCTTGATGTAGACACTTAGATCACATGAAAAAAGTAATTTATCTGTACAAGTTACATCTGTGAGTAAGAATTGAGAGTACATTAATAGAACTTGGAATTCTTGTTGATTATTCGGAACTTAATAATACTGACTGTACGGATATGCAGCGCTGCAATTACTCAACAATGGAGTAGAAGCCATTGTCGGATCTGAAATATGCATAGAAGATTACGTTGCAGAATTAGGAACCAAAGCTCAAATCCCCATTATTTCCTTCACCCCAACCACCCTCTCTAAACCCTTCAAATCACAACCATATTTTTTCCAGTTAACTCCAGACAATGATGAAAAGCATCAAGCCCAAGCTCTGGCAGCTATCTGCAAACACTTCCAATGGCGCCAAGTTGTCATCTTGTACGAGGATAACGAACATGGCGACAGATTCACAAGCAACCTTATTAAGGCACTTCACAGAACAGATATTCACACAGCCTCAATCCTCTCCATCCCCTCATTAGCCGAGGAATCCGAGATCTCAGGAGAACTGAAAAGGTTAATGTCAATGGAAACCCAAACCCGAGTGTTTGTTGTTCACACGACAGCTCCCCTTGGATCTCGCCTTTTTGTTCTCGCCAAGAAGCTGGGGATGATGAGTGCCGGTTACGCGTGGATCATAACCGACGCCTTATCCAACTCCCTTAGTTTCATGAACTCAACTGTCACCAATTCAATGGATGGTGTTCTTGGAATAAGGCCATATGTGCCCATGTCGGAAAACCTCGAAATTTTCGAAACGAAATGGAAAAGGACTATGTTGTCGGAGTTTAATGTTTATTGTTTGTGGGCATATGATACAACCTGGGCTTTAGCATCATCAATAGATAAAATTGGACCCAAGCTTGTCCAAGAACTGCAGGGCTTGAAATTGGAAGGATTGAGTGGAAAGTTCGAGATAGTAAACCGCCGTCTGGGGCCTACAGCCATGGAGGTAGTTAATATAGTTGGGACAGGAGTTAGAAGAGTTGGGTATTGGTTGACAGGTAAAGGGATAAGGGAAGAATTGGGTTCATTAGAATCTGCAGAAAAGCTGAAGAATGTGTTGTGGCCTGGGGATTCATTGGCAAAACCGATAGGTTATTGGGTTGTTCCAAGTAAAGGGAGATTGAGAGTTGGAGTTCCAAAGAAAAATGGGTTTACTGAGTTTGTTAATGTTCAATGGAACTCGTCTACAAACCAAAGTATTGTGGAAGGGTTCTCAATAGATATTTTTCGTTATGCATTGGAGTCGTTGCCTTTCAAGGTTGAGTATGATTTTGTCCCATTTGTGAATGAGAGTGGACAGCGTAATGGATCATACAATGATCTCCTTCATAAAATAAAAGAGGTATGTATGTATGTCACTCCTCAAATATATATTTGTTATTTTTTTTTTTGTACTACCGACTCTTGAGTCAACACCGTCTCCACTAAGGTTTAATCTCATGACCTCACATATAGAAGAGTCATTACATGCCATGTGAGTACAAGGTATTGTATTTGGTTATTTGGTTTTATTATTTTTTTAAGAAAATGGTTAAATAAGCCCTAAACTTTATTTGAAAATTCAATTAGGATTCTGAATTTTTAAGAAGTGTAATTAAGCCCATCACATGTTATTTTGGTGCGTTGAAGTCCAAAAATCGATTAGTGACTTGTAATAGAATGTTATGAGGGTTCCGACGACACTCCTACAATGCTCCAGGGACTAACATCGACGACTGTCGAACGATCACCAATTGCATTTGAAGAAGGCGACCAATAGGTCACCTTCTCTTCTCTGACATAAGAAGGCGACCAGTGGTCACCTTTTTCTCGAAGAAAGAGACCAGTTGGTCGCCTTTTCATCGGAGAAGGCAACCAAATATGTGACGGTAACCTATTGGTTACCAATAAATTAAATTTATTTGTTCAATTTTAATATGGTTACGTGCCAAGGACCTTGTGGTCCAGTGGCACCAAGTTACTCCAATCCCTTATACATATATATGGAAGGGTGTGGGTTCGAGTCTCTACTGAGGCCAACTAGTCTAGGTTGTTCCTAATTGATCCGCTCAAATGAAGAAGACCAATAGACTGCACCCATAAAGAGTGGAGTGGAGTCGAACTTGGAACCTTATAATTATCAAGCCAAGTACCCAATCAACTTGGTTGGAGTTGCCCTCATTAGTTTTATTTTTCTAGTGAATATACAACACTAACTTTTATATATTTCCCATTTTGGATTGAAGAACGATTTTGACATCGTGGTGGCGGATTCAACAATTTTGGCTCAACGTGCTGAATATGTAGATTTTGCACTTCCTTACAGTGAATCAGGAGTGGTTATGGTGGTGAAAAATAATATTCATAAAGACATGTGGATTTTCATAAAGCCACTCAAGTGGGATCTTTGGCTCACAATTATTGCTGCATGCATATTTCTGGGATTTGTTGTTCGAGTGTTGGAACATCGCAAGATGAAGAATAACAATAATGCAGCTGTTCAGCCAAACAGGGATCATCATAATGGCTTCTTCTTCTGCTATGCAATTGCAGTTCTTGCCTTTCCAGAAGGTAAGTACTAGCTAATTGTTAACAAAGTAGTGTTCATAATATTATATACAGAAATTTACATTTTTAGTCATTTAGTTATATCCATGATATAGACTTAGTTTCTGAGTTATATGCATGGCCATATTTAACCTTAAGTTATACACAAAATGACAAGTTTAATTCTTGAAAGATCAAACTCTTCACATTATCAAGTGATATATTGGTGGTATAAATAGTCTCCGAGGAACTAAAATCTCCACTTTGCGCATAACTTAAAGGTTTAAAGACGGTCGATTAGGCACAGGACCGGCACTGGCCATGTGAAAACAAGCTGGCAATGGCACAGGGCCCTTGTTGGGTGGAGATTAGTACGGTGAAGGGCCAAATCCAGCACCCTGCCTCTTGAAAAATATAATGTAGCAGTATAAAGAAATAAAGTTACGCATTTGCCAACTAGTTATAATTTTTGATGTTGTGGTAAGCATTTAATCCTAACAAATGGTATCAGATCAAAGTCAGGTCACGAAAATGCAATTTCCTCTATTATAGTATTATATATGTACCATCTTTCTTGCTAAAACTTGTGCTAATAATAGGGAATATGGTGTCCAACAACTGGTCGAGGTTTGTGTTGATGATCTGGGTATTCATGGCCTTCATCTTAGCACAAAGTTACACAGCCAATTTATCTGCAATTTTAACTGTGGATCGATTTGATTCTGCATTTTCCAAGGATTACATTGTTGGATACCAAGAGGGCTCATTTGTGAGAGATTTTCTGTTGAAAACCCTTCATGTTGATAAGTCCAAACTGAAAGAATTCTCAACCATAGAAAAGTATCATGATGCTATGAATAAAGGAGGCAAAAGTGGGGGTATTGATGCCATTTTTGACGAAATTCCTTACATGAAGCTCTTCTTACGCAGATATGGTTCTCAATACAAAATCGTGGGACCAATATTCAAAACAGATGGTTTCGGCTTTGTAAGTTTCACTTATACCTTTCTTCTATATTTCAACCATATTATAATCGGAAAAATGACACTTTTTTTCCTCCTGAATTATATACTTATAATCTTTTTTTCCTTAAATTATTCATATATCTGCATTAACCCATCAATTATGGTCACAAAAATTTCAGGCATTTCAACAAAACTCCACTCTGGTTCCCTTCTTCTCCAGGGCAATCCTGAAAGTGACTCAAAGTGAAAACATGACTTCCATTGAGAACAAAAATTTTGGCACCGGAAACTCTATCAGTGAGCCACTTTCCTTCATCTCTGACGATAAACCCAGTCTTACTGCTTACAACTTCGGAGGTCTCTTCATTATCATTGCATCTGCTACCATTTTTGCCTTATTTTGCTCCGAGACTCCATGGGGACGAAGAATGGTCATCTTCTCATCTCAGTTTAGCCAAAAGACTTTGGATGTTGTGGTTACTGTGTCTGAAAGCTTCTTTGCTGCAGCTAAACGTTGCAACAAAAAGTGTTCGTCTCTCGTGAAGATCAAAAGAAATAGACCGATGAGTGTTCATCATTCCATAACTCATCAACAGGTGAATTCCAATAATGATCCACCTGCAAATGACGACGACGCTACTCATAATAATCAAGTAATATTAGATATTGGGGATGCAATTCACTCTGCAGATAATTCAACAACATGAGAAATGCACGAACCTTTGAGTGCACATGTATATATTTACGAATCGAAGATACACACACATGACACATGTTGTATATATGTAAATTTAAGGGTAATAGTCATACCACACATAAGCTTTTGAAAACCTTGTATTACTATATAAAACTATACAGATACACACCATTACTGCTATCTATGATTTCACTACCCCTAACCCAAAGGTTAATTTGGTTGACCAAGCAAGTCACATGGATCCTGCAGATCAGACAGCCTATATTTGGTTACAACTCAAATAGGGAGACCGGAGACCTCACTTAGCTAAGACTAAACCTTGTACAGCCCGGCAGGGCATCTAGAGAGAGAATACAACAATTTATCATGTTAACGGTTTAATTTATTTAAATTAAACCATACTGTGCAGGATCATGCGGCACTTATTTTGAGCATTTTAGACAAGGCATCAAATCGTTCGCAGGTGAATCAAATGCTGTAATCTTGGGATCTTTGGAGTAGATGCTGCCATATTTTTTTCTATATTCAGTTAAGATCCTATAGAATAAGGCCAATATAATGATGACGAAATTCAGAATGAAGAAAGCACCAAAGTTGTAGGCACCAACACTCTTGCCTTGAGACACCAGAGAAAAAGAACCAACACTAGACGATGATCCTGCACCGAAATATTTGTTCTCAATTCTGCTCATGTTTTCACTTTGAATCAACCTTAGTATTGCCCTAGAGAAGTGGGGAACCAGCGGCGAGCCATGCGGGAATGCCTGAACAACAATAACAAATTTTCCACTCCAGTTAGATTACAGCTTATGGAAGCTAAATGACTGACTAGCAATTCATTGCTATTGAACTACTTACAAAGCCAAAGCCTTCGGACTTGTAAGTTGGTCCAACCCTTTTGTATTGAGAACCATATCTGCGAAGGAAGAGCTTTATGTAAGGGATCTCATCAAAAATAGCATCTATGCCTCCTTGTTTGCCTCCTTTCACCATTGCTTGATGATACTGCTCTATGGTTGTGTATCCTCTGAGCTTGGAGTCATTAATGTGGAGATTGGTTACTAAGAAATCTCTCACAAAGGAGCCTTGTTGGTATCCGACATAGTGGTCCTTGGAAATTTTGAAATCATCTAGTTTATCCACTGTTAACAATGCAGATAGTCTTGCTGTGTAGCTCTGTGTTAAGATGAGGACGATAAACAACCACATAATGAAAGCAAACCTCGAATAGTTGCTGCTCAAAGTCCCTGTTAATTTATATGAATTGTTAGCAATGATTAGTACATATTTCCATCCACACTACAAACTCAAATTAATTAGGCTTCACCTGTTGACATGAAGAGCGCCACAGCCTTCTCCTTCAAGGTTCCGTGTTCTAAGGCCCAAACAACCAATCCCAAAACTATACTTGACGCAGCTGCTGTCACCCAAAGATCCCATGTCAATGGCTTTAAGAAACACCACATGTTCTTTTGATGGTTAACTTTTACTACCATAGATGCTCCTGATTCAGTATATGGTAGTGTGAAATCAACATATGAAGCTCGATCCGCCAAAATTGTTATATCTCCCACCACAACATCATAGTTTTTCTTCGTTCCCACAACAGGTTAAAAGTCACTGTTAGAAGAAACCAACAATATTAACAGTAACAATAACAATTACAGGAATTAGAAATACCTCTGCAACTTTATGAACGAGATCATCATAGATTCCCAAATTATGTCCACTTTCATTTACAAATGGGAGAAACTCATAATCAAGTTGTACAGGTAACTTTTCCAAAACAGACCGGAAAACATCTATTGAGAATCCTACCACCTTCGTTTCATTTGTTGATGGATCCACTTCAACCTTAACAAATTCAGTGAAACCTTGTTTGATTGGAACTCCTATTTTCAATTTTCCTGTATGAGGAACACCCCAACCCTTTGGTTTTGACAGTGAAACTCCAGGCCATATTACAGTTTTCAGCTCTTCAGAATTTAGATCTAATCCTCTAATTATTCCTTTGCTTGGCAACCAATAGCCTAGTGTTCTCTCTCCATTTCCAATCACATTGAATATCTCAAAAGCTGAAGGCCGTAATTGGTAATCAACTAATTTAAACTCTCCACTCAAGCCTGTGAACTTCATGTCTAACATTTCACGTAGAAGCTTTGCACCAAATTTGGAAACTCTAACATTTGTAAAGTCAAAGGTGAGGTTGAGCGCATGTTCATTCCTCAAACTCCTCATGATGTGTGGACTCTTGTAGGCTGTGTCTAATCTAACAGCATCTATAGCATCATCCTTGCTTTTCCCGTTGCTCACCTTCTTGAAGGTGCCATCCATTGTCTCATAGATCTTTTCTATTGCCATTGCTAAAGCCCAAGTTGTGTCATATGCCCACAAACTGCATACATTTAGCTCTGCCGTAATCTCTCTGTTAGTCACCTGAAACATATTACTTTTCCACCTAGCTTTGAAATTTTCAAGATTTTCTGAATTGGGCACATATGGCCTAATTCCCACAGCACCTTGCCATGAACTGGTAACTGTTGAATCCATGGAACTCAAGCTGTTGGATAAACTGTCAGTGGTAAATATCCATGCATACCCTTCGATCATCATTCTCGATATTTCCGCAAGGTGAAAAATGTGAGATCTCATAGAAGTGCTCACATGAACCAAAAATACTCTGGTTTGGATTGACTTCAATAGATTAAGTTGTGTTGAAATTTCATCCAACTGAGCTGATGGAGGCAAGGAAATCATGTACTCTGTGTGGATGTCAACTTCTTGGAGTGCCTTAATTAGTTGAGAGTTAAATTGGTTACCATACTTATTGTCCTCATACAAAATCACAACTTCGAGCCATTTGAATTGTTTGCAAATGGACGCAATAGCTTGAGCTTGATATGAATCATCAGGTGTAATCTGAATCGTGTAAGGACTTGCAATGTTCACATGAGAGAGGCTTCTTGGAGTTAATGAAATCAAGGGGACATGAGCTTTGCTTCCTAATTCTGCAACAAAGGCTTCAGTTGAAACTTCAGATCCAACAATGCCCTGAACCTCTTCAGTATTAAGCAATTGTAGCACTGCATCAATCAGAGGACACAAGAAATCATCATATGAACCAATGAATCACTTTCTGTTGAAACAATTGTATTAACAAGCTCCCTATTTATTTCAAACAATTCCTTTCCCATTGTTAGAATTCAGTAATTGCATTCATCTTATATGTCAAAGTAGCTAGACTACTGAACTACAACTGTGTATATATTTCTAACTACATTCATTCCATTGGATGCCAGGAGATCACCTAATAATTCGTTTAGGTTACTGTGAAAGAATTACTACATTTCTGATCATCATGGCATCTGCTTAGCAACATTTTCCCCACACATAACCTAACACCATAGCGTCAATTTACAGAGCACTTCATATGCATACTTGTAATACAAATGCAAACATCCTTTAACAATGGGAAATATAATATTACCTGCAGAGACGGCGTCTAGTTCAGTATCAACGTCAACGGTGTCGAGAACTATTCTCGTCCGGTAATCCAAATGCGACGAATAGAAGTCGGAAAGAGCCATGGACATAGACGAATTAATCGCTGCGCCGGTCGGCGAATTGAGGTCAAGAACTACGCCGATTTTGATAGCCGAACGGCTTCCATCTCCATGCTCTTCCGCTGAAACGAGCAGGATTCCAAGTAGGAAGCCAAAAGCAGAGAGGAAAAATCTCATAGTCGATCTTTAGCGACGAATCAAACGTGAATAGTTGTTAAGGAAATTTGAAAAAACATAAAAGAGAAACATTTACGCCTTTACGGGATAAGTTGAGCAGTTTCTCAGAAACTACTGAGAATAAACTAACATTTATGTCAACAAGATAGCAACCGGCGACCGGCCTGTCCTAAGTCAAAGTCATCTTTTTTTTTTTTCTTTGTGTAAATTGTTCCGAATTTTTCTCCGTCCCTCCACGTCATAATTTTTAGAACAAATTGCACTTTTGGTCCTGTGAGTATTAGGGTACTGACAATTTGAGTACGTGACTTTCAAAACTCTCAATTTAAACATTTAGCTATGCAATTATTGGCAGATTTGATCCTTCGGGCCAAATTGCCGGCCAATTTTGGCCGGAAAAATTAAAAATATTTTTAATTATTTAATTATGAGGGCAAATTGGTCATTTTAGAGTCTTCTTCTTCATTCACCCCCTTCTTCTTCGTTCTTCTTCTTCTGCGTTCTTCTTCTTCTTCATCCTTGCACTGGGAGCCAAATTAATCTCCGATCCGATCCGATCCTCCTCTTGGCCGGATATAATGAAGAAGCAAGGTTGTGAAGTTGAAGCATTGGGCATCAGCTACTCAATCTCCACTCACCAAAAACACCATCGCCGCCGCCATTTCAAGCTCTTCAGCAAAGATGTCTGAGATGAAGAAGAGAAATTACCGGGCGGCGGCGGGGGAGTTCGTGTTGTGTTGAAGGATGTGAGCTGCCACGCGAAGCCGTGGGAGATTCTTGCCATCGTCGGCCCCATCCGGCTGAGGCTGCCAGCACCGGAGCTGGGATCACGGGTGACTCAGTTGATCGAAGAACTCGGGTTGAGTCACGTTGCAGGAGCTCGGGTTGGCGACACGGACAGGATCCGGGGGATTTCCGGCGGCGAGAGGCGACGCGTGTCCATTGGCGTGGAGGTTTGAATGTGGCGCTTCTGGAAAAGGCTTCAAAGTCACATTCTTGCTCAATCCCCTGCACCGAGTTTGTTAATTATTGATTATTGATTATTGATTATTGATGTGATATGGATTACGGTAGTATGTTAATAAGTTAGCATAGGAGGTTTGAATGTGGCGCTTCTCGAAAAGGCTTCAAAGTCACCGGGAATGGCAAGCAAAAGGCTTCAAAGTCACCGGCTCCGTTTGCGACCTGTCGTCCAGGGAACAGAGGTTACTCGATCAAAACATGAAAACAAAGCAACTAACACGATAATGTCGATCATTATAGGCCATACGAAGTTAAGGATAGCAGTGGCGGTAGTGGACGACGGAGATGGCGGAGGCATTGCGATTGAAGGCGAGGGAGCGGCGGTGGCGGCGGCACTGGACACCGGAGAAGCGACGGAAACAGGGGACGACTCAGCTTCTGCGACGGAGGAAGGCGATAGCGATGGAGTCACAACGAGAGGAGCGGGAACTGGGGTCGGTGGCTCTGCTGCGGAATACGGCGATGGAGCGGCGGCGAAACTCGGTGCAGGGGATTGAGCAAGAAGGAAGACGAAGAACTCCCATTTTTTTTTCTTTTCCGATGGTAGTTGCAAGAAGGAAGACGAAGAGGAAGAACGCAGAATGAAGAAGAAGAAGAACGCAGAAGAAGAAGAACGAAGAAGAAGGGGGTGAATGAAGAAGAAGACTCTAAAATGACCAATTTGCCCTCATAATTAAATAATTAAAAATAGTTTTAATTTTTCCGGCCAAAATTGGCCGGCAATTTGGCCCGGAGGACCAAATCTGCCAATAATTGCATAGTTAAAGGTTTAAATTGGGAGTTTTGAAAGTCACGTACTCAAATTGTCAGTACCCTAATACTCACAGGACCAAAAGTGCAATTTGTTCTAATTTTTATACTGTAGATTCATAAATTTTATACTTTAAATTTCAATTGTTGATTTTCACAAATCAGAGAACTATATGTTCATAATTTAATAACTATACAGTTTAGAAATTATGAATTTACAGTACAGAAATTATGAATCTACAGTACAGATATTATGAATCTGCAGTATAAAAATATGAATTTATTGTATAGAAATTATGAATCTATTGTATTTAAATTATAAATTTGAAGTTTAGAAATTATGAATCTAAATTATAAATTTTATGAATCTACAGTATAAAAATTATACATCTACAGTATAGAAATTATGGATATGGAACCGTGCCTACCTTGCAAGGTGGGCACGTGCTCACAGCATAACGGTCCAAATTAAAGTCTAACATCTAGTAATCTATCTATATATCTATATATATCTATATATATATATATATATATATATATATATATATATATATATATATATATATATAAAAGTAAAATCCTCCTAACAAATTTTCCCCCCAAAACTTTTGTAGTAAAACTTATTTGGTAAGTAATTGTCAAATGGAAATCTATATATATATATATATATATATATATATATATATATATATATATATATATATATATATATATATATATAAAAGTAAAATCCTCCTAACAAATTTTCTCCCCAAAACTTTTGTAGTAAAACTTATTTGGTAAGTAATTGTCAAATGGAAATTAAATAAAATCAATTAATTGGTAATATTATATATGGTATTATATTCTATAATATAATATAATTGATAATATTATTGTTCAAGTATAATAAAAATATTATTGTTCAAGTATAAAATAGAATTAAAATAATAACAATAACAATAACAACAACAATAATAATAATAATCCAAACAAAACTATATACAAAATCTATATCTATATCTATATATATATATATATATATATATATATATATATATAAAAGTAAAATCCTCCTAACAAATTTTCCCCCCAAAACTTTTGTAGTAAAACTTATTTGGTAAGTAATTGTCAAATGGAAATCTATATATATATATATATATATATATATATATATATATATATATATATATATATAAAAGTAAAATCTTCCTAACAAATTTTCCCCCCAAAATTTTTGTAGTAAAACTTATTTGGTAAGTAATTGTCAAATGGAAATTAAATAAAATCTATTAATTGGTAATATTATATATGGTATTATATTCTATAATATAATATAATTGATAATATTATTGTTCAAGTATAATAAAAATATTATTGTTCAAGTATAAAATAAAATTAAAATAATAACAATAAGAATAACAACAACAACAACAATAATAATAATAATAATCCAAACAAAACTATATACAAAATAAAATTAAAATTAAAAAAAAAAATAAGAAAAAGACAAAGGTGGCTCCCCTTAGTAAATGATATGGGATCATTTTGATCCCACATTGAAAATGTTTGGAAAGAGGAGCTCTTGATCTCCTCTATATAAGAGGAGCAATGCTCCTCTTACAACCATACAATCAATGTGGGCAAGTATTGAGAAGTCTAAAGGCTTTTTATAGTACTACTATTGACCCGACAAATTATGCTGCGAAACTGTGTCCACCTTGCAAGGTAGACATGGTTTAAAAATAGTTCAAAATTATGAATATAATAATCAATATATAGTTCAAAAATTATGAACATATAGTTCTATAATTATGAACATAGTGTTGTGAAAATAATTATGAACACATAGTTATCTAATTATGAATATAGAGATTCAATAATTGTGAATATGAAGTTTAATAATTATGAATATATATGTTTATAATTATGAACATATAATTCAATAACTATGAACATAGAGTTCTGTAATTATGAATATAAAGTTCAATAATTATGAATATGAAGTTCAAAGATTATGAATATATAACTTTATAATAATGAACTTATAGTGCAGTATTTATGAACATAGAACTGTGTCCACCTTGCAAGGTGGACACGGTTCCACAACCTATTAAAATCCAACGTGTCAAATGGCTCTTATTTTAAAAAAAAAAACTTATCTTAATGGATTCTTAATTATTTTTTAATTTTTTTTTAATTTATTAGGGACTTTGGGAAAGATTAACAAAAAATGTATATGAGTTGTTTTAGTTTTTAGCAGTTTCGAGCAAATTGTTAAGTTATTAAATAATATTTTTGGTATTTTGATAAAATATAAAATGTTAAACAAACGAATTTCTTAAAATTTTGCTGAATTTGCAAATAATCAAATTACAATAACAACAACAACAACAACAACAACAATAATAATCCAAACAAAATTATATACAAAATAACATTAAAATTAAAATTAAAAAAAAAAAAAAAAAAAAAAAAAAGGAGTCACGGGCCCCTTTGTAAATGATTTTGAGATCATTTTTAACCCACATTGAAAATGTTTGAAAATAGAGAGCTCCTCTATATAAGAGGAGCAATGATCCTCTTACAAACATAATTTCTTGCCCATCAATGTGGGCAAGTATTGAGATGTCAAAAGGTTCTTATTTAAGAAGTTTCAACTTTGTCTTCTTATTTTAGTTTTTATTTATTTATTTATTATTAATGGGGGTTGTGAAAGATTAACACAAAATGTATGTATTGTATTAGTTTTTAGCCATTTGGAACAAATTACTGAGTTACTATATAATTTTTTGGGGGGTTTTGATTAAAGTTAAAATATTAAAATGACGAATTAGTTAAAATTTTGGCGAATTTATCAACAATCAAATAAATAAATAATAATAATAATATAATATAATATAATATAATATAATATAATAATAATAATATTAATCTAAACAAAACGATATACAAAATAAAATTAAAACTAAAATAAATAAGAAGAACACAAAAGGGTGCCATGGAATCCCCTTTGTAAATGATGTTGGATCATTTGATCCCACATTGAAAATGTTTAGAAAATGAGCTCTTGAGCTCCTATATATAAGAGGAGCAATGCTCCTTTTACAAACATAATTGTTTGCCCATCAATGTGGGCAAGTATTGAGAAGTCCAAAGATTTTTTTTTGTACTATTGACCCGATAAATTATGTTGTGGAATTGTGTTCACCTTGCAAGGTAGACACGATTCCAAAATTGTTCATAATTATGAATATATAGTTCAACAATTATGAACATAGTGTTGTGAGCATAATTATGAATTGTGAATATATATAGTTATGTAATGTAATTATGAATATAGAGATTCAAAACTTATTTGGTAAGTAAATGTC